CAGGTGTGACGGAGCCGGGGATGTGAGCGGCCCGCCGCTACTGCCGCCACTACCGCCTGCGCCGCTGCCGCCGAGGCAGGGGCTCACACGTAGGCGGCGCAGGCGGGATGACATACGAGGCAATGGCGAGGGCTCCATGCTGGAACTGCCGTGGCTGCGGAGGCCGCAATCGCCCTGGCTGAGTCCGCTGCCGCAGCTCCCCTGGTAGCGAGAGGTAGTGAGAGGGCAAACGGCGAGATGAGACGGGGCCAGATGTACCCACAGCAGATAGCGACATGGGGCGACGAAACCGCTTGAAAATGGACAGGCAAGGCAAAAGAATCAAAAGGTAGTCCGAGGAGCAGGATTGGGATGCAGATGGTCCCGTTACATCACGAGGGAATCAAGGCAGTGTAACAGGACGCAGCATGGAGGTTAATCAGAAGGTTAATGACTTTGCAAGATGCCATAGAGATACAAGATACAATCGAGATTTCTAGGAGCCGTGATAAACATTCAGGGGGACAAGGCGATGCCTGACTACCTGCGGGCAGGTACAATGGGTTAAGGCCGGATGACGCAGCTTCTATAGCAGAAGCAAGGAAGGCGCTTCAGGGGAAAAAACGGAAAAAAGAAGGGGAAAGGGAAACTGAAAAGGGGAAAAAAAACGGGCAGCACGCTCTATACCACGAGCCTACTACTCGCTCTCCTACCTGCAAATGGTAAAAGCCATAGGCGCCCGAGTGTCCCGATTGGGCGTATAGCTCCTCATGCTCTGCGGCAGCCTGCAGGCGTCGGAGCAGCACCGCACTGTACTTGCCAGCGCTGGAGGGGTCATCTGGATCGGGCGCCTGCTGGCTGGTTCGCAGCCAGGACTCCTCGTCCTCGCCGTCACCGTCCCCATTGCAGCCGCCGTCTCCCAGCCCCACGTTATCCTGAGCAGGGACGTTGCCGCCGCCCAGGGCACTTTTGCTATCGTCGGTAGCTCGGTCAGATAGCACGGCTTGGTCGCCAGACGAGCGCTGCTGCGGCAATTGCTGCTGACTGGTTTGGGCGGCTTGTTGCTCTGTCTCGGTTCCCGCAGCTGAAGCATCAAAATTAATACCACCAGGAGCGGGGACGTCAACTGGAACGGCCACAATTACAAGGTCGCTATCCACCGCGTTGTTGACGAAGCAGGGTTTAGATGGCCAGGACGACGTTCCAACAGCAGCAGCAGCAGCAGCCCTCTCATGCGCGGGTTCGTCATCGGTATCTGCGAAGCTGCCACGTAGGTCGCGAGCACTGCCCCCCGGCGCAGCGGGCCACAGGTTTAAGGAAGGCGGTTTATCGCCTACGGCGCCTTGCACGGCGTCGATTGAAAAATGGCCGGAAGTGCTGAAGCTCGTGAAATTGTTATTGGCAGACCCCGCAGAGCGCGCGAGGCTGACTAAATCAAACGGTGTAGTTCCTATATGGACCAGAAGCGCGCTTGGCAAGGGCCCTGACGCTGCCGTGCTGAACGTGACAGTCGCAGCCGCGCCAGAGCCCATACTCGCTGGACGTGAAAGCACGGCGTCAGCGCCTCGCAGCGGCACTTGCTCCTGCTGCTGAAGATCCACTGCCGGCTGAAGGTGTTGCAGAGCGCGGGCGGTGCCTTGCCGCACTTCCTCATGCCAGCCTGCGGGCGCATGCGGCTGATGGTGCGTCAGGCGCCGCAGCTCCAGCTCCTCTGCAGAGTCAGCCAGGGCCTTATTCCCGGGGCCCAAGCCTGTGCCCAGGAACGGCATGCCACCATGGCGCATATGACTGGCAATCACGGGCTCCGAAGACGTGTCCGCAAGCGGCTCAGCGCCAAGCTCAGCTGGTTCGGGGCCACTGCCAGGGCCAATACCCCCTTCCGAAGCAGCGTGTGAAGACAGGCCAGTGAAGATCGCACGGCTGGCGCCCTGTTGGGCCGGCGCCATGGTGGGCCGGCTAAGTAAGCAGGAAGCTACGGCGGCATTGCACATGTCCCCAGGGCATGACATGGCGCAACGAGCGAGCAGCTCGTGCTGGTGCGCCGCCGACCCGGCCTCAGCAGTGTTGCCCCCTGTGGAGCCGGCAGCCGGGCGCTGCATGGAATCTGCCGACGTCAAAGCGTCCCCGAAGCATGACTGCACGGAAGCCGGAACTCCAAAAGCAGCGATACCGTACTTAGCGACGGAAGCCACCAGCGCCGGCTGTGCAGCTGTAACAGACGTTGACGCAGCGGATGAGGAAAACTGGCCATGGAGTGGGAGGCCGCTCTGGCGATGGTCGCACGCATCATCATCGCCAGCCCGACGGGCATCGCCTGGGCCCGCGTCATTGCTGGAGTTCGCTGATCCTCCGGCCTTGACTGCTGCGACGTGCCGGTACACGGGCCCAGAACCCTCGGAGGCGCCACGCGGGTGCTGCCAGCCGCTTGGCAGAGGCGGCGGCCCACCCTGCCCGCCGGCGCAGCCCTCGGCAGCAGGTCCGTGAAGCGCCTCTGCAGAGTCGTTGAGGCCGCTGGTAGCCGGGATGCTGGCCCCGCTAAGGCTGCGGCAATGGGAGCGACCCTTGGGAGCCGGGCTGTTGCAGGAATGGTGCTGTAGGGGACCAATGGTACGGGAGTAGCAGCAACACTATATGATATCGATACAGTTCAGGCAAGTTCAGTTCACTGGCGCCCTGCGCCGAATGGCAAAATTGCCGCACCTAACCAATATGATGATTTGGAAAGCCCTGCGCCATTCGTGGCCATGTAATGTACGTACAGGCACACGTATGCGCGGGCGTGTATGTGCAGATGAAGTACCTACTGGAAGAGCAAACGCTACCTTATCATGACGAGAGGAGTTTGCGAGTGCGGCAGCCGCGAGCAGGGAGTGGTCCGCTGCGGTGGTGCTCGAGACCGTGATGTGGACTGGGAAGTTGGCGGGATGGACGCCCGAAGTTCCTTGCTGTTGAGGCGAGTGCGTGCTAGAAGTGTCCTTGATGCCTGGGGAGTGGCGACGACCGAGCCTGCCAGATGCACATATGTCACGACGGGGATAAGTGTTGTTCCAGAGAGCAAAGATGTTCCGCGCTCCGTCGGTGCACGGGGAAAGTGCAATGCGATATCTGCGCTCCAACCCCGGATGCCTCAAAAGGAGCGGCTGGGGGTTGGCATCTTCTATGTGGTACGTAAGCGACGGATGTACACAAGTTCCGACAGGATTGCGTGCGCACCGCGCATTCCGGAACGCAGCATGGGTGTGGCGATGTGGCCCACAAGGACAGGGACGCACCAGCACTTGGAGTGTTCACCAAACGTGACGGGCGCGAACAGGATGGGCGCGACGTTCTCTTGGCCGCCGCCTGCGGCTGTCGTGAACGACCTGGAGCTATGCAGTATGGGGCTGCCTTTGTCGTTAAGCATGCATGAACGAAGGCGGTTGTGATAGCTTGCGGATAGCGCACGCGATCCGCGCAGTTTCCGGCGTTGTCCTGCAGCGCATGCATGGTTCGCGGCTGCGTATGACAGACACCATGAAATCTCATTCCGCGCACAATCGAGCGCAATTCTTACCGTCGGGCACGGACCCCGCTCGCGAGAGAGCGGCGCCGTCCGTGTCAGCCTGGTTTGACAGAAGGCTCCGAACGTTCAGCTCACCAAGGCAGGCAAGCACTTGGGCCTCCTGCTCTGTCATCTCTGCAGCACCGCATGGTGAATGAAGCTTGTCAGTTTTGCGCCGGTCTCGCCGAGCGCAAGGCATCAACGTAGCTGTCAGGCACTGTGTAAGCCTTGTACGCGAGGTGAACGAATAGAACAGCCAATGCTGCAGACCAGCATAAAAATCGCTTTAAAAGTGCTTCAAAGCGGTCTCTTTGTTGAAACAATGCAGGAGACACGCGAGTCTTGGTACGCCCCGAAGTGGGGGACGCCAAGCTGTTGCTGCCGTGACCGGAGTCGTCGCTATTCGCACCATGGTCATTTCGCTCCTCCTCTTCCTCCTCCTCTTCCACCTCTTCAGACAGCGGCTCTGGCGAGCCCAGGTGTGCTTTGCTCTTCTTGCGGTCGCGTTCCATGGTCCAAGGGCTGTGCTTGCGGCATGCCACAGGCCGCCCAGCGGCTGGCGATTCATACACCATGGTGTGGTACGCCGCTCGTCAAGCTACGTTAAAAGGTACCAAAGTCCAAGCGGCCTGAGGAAGGGGGTAGCGATTCTCCTCTCGGGAGAACGACTGACTTTATAATGCTAATGCCGCATTTAAATTGATACAGTAAAGCCAGCGCAATAAGCCAAAATCCCTTGCAAACGTAGGTTTGTCGGAACTTTCCCCCTTTACCCGGATGATTCCTTCGTTGGTGGGTATAAAATATGTTCCTTGCACTTCTAAAATCGTTGAAAGAGATGATAGGAACGCAAGCAATTACCCCAACGGCAGCAATAACACAAATGCAGCGATCCAGAACTGCCGTACATGTCTCGTCCACCAGGCAAACAGCTGCCGCTGGTTCTAATTAGCGAGTGCTCTACTATACCTTACCAGAATCTAAGCTATGTAAGTATTTTGCGTGCAGCCCTGGGTTTGCTCCTGCTGTTGACGACGACGGTGATGATAACAAGCTTCTTGGGTTTGTCGGGCCAAGGAGGCTCATGGACCACAGAAACTCAGGAAACGACCTGAAAAACAAACTTTATGAAAATGAAAACAGGTAAGGAACTTGCTTGACGTCCGGAAAAAGACGAGACTTGGCATAATTGTCATGTTTGTGAAGCGCCCTTTCAAAACATTGTATCATAGTAGATGCCGTTCGGTTCTTGGACGCTTGCCGTAGCTCTAGACTTAGCACTTTTGCTTAGCTGCACAGGCATGCCGTACATAGACTACTTTTTTGCGTCGTCAGGGACTGCTGCTCCCAGCTTCGTCATCCTCCAGCTCCCAGCTGTGTTTAAATGCGCAGGTCCGACCAATTCTTTCTTACGTAGCGCAAGCCTGGGGAACTGAACTCTTAGTGGAAGTCTTAGAGGCTGTGGGCTCGCGGGTCAGTCTTTTCATAAAAGCGGTTACAGATGGCGGTTGGGTGTGCAGTGCAGACGTACGTATCCCCTGCAAGTTACTCAGCGCATATAGTTGAACAGGAAAAGCAGATCTCTACAGTATGGAGCGCAATGTCTGTCTGTCTGTCTGTCCCTCAGACTAGCATATTTTGCACAAGCAATGATTACTACGCGCGCTGGCCCCTGAAACACAACTTTTCTAACGACATAATATATTACAATCGGTCGAAATTGGCTTCTACCCGGGAAGTGTTCTTAAGCGCCCTGTTGACCGGGCGGCATAAAAGTGTTAGCGAACAACCCAATACCTTAGGAATATGGTACCGCAAGAATTCAGACAAGTTTGCTGTAGCGCTAATAATGAACCAAACATGAACGCCTACACAAGCTCGATTTTAGCCAGGACGGCAAGTCAGCTGCATAGGGCTATAGGTAGGTCCATGCCCCTGCATGCCCGTACCGTGAGCTACCGGGAATATCTTAAGAGTTACATGGGCAGGGATGCGAACCCCTGCTTGCACAGCCCCTTTAATTTGACATCCGATGGGTGATGGATACCTAAGAACCCTAAGAGACAAGCAAGCCCGGACAAGGCAAAACCAGCACCCAAAATGTCATGATGAGGCAGTCGACGGCTCAGCAGGCATCCTCGCACAGGAAACGGACACAAATAGAATGGCATGGCTTCAATCATATCACTCTCTACAAAACATTGTCTCCATGCTGAAAGCACGAACTTCGATCAGAACGCAGAAGCGCAATGCATTGCCATAGTTCACATGGCCATAATTCACACGCAACAAACTCGAAATCCAACGAACCGTGCAAAAATGCAATACAGCCGCATGGCTTCTTAAGCCGTGCCCAGAAAATATTTTATCGCATGCATGGATCGCGAAAAGAAAGAGTCCCGAGCCTAGCACATCACCTGCACATCACTGCAAGGGGTCATATCTGTCCGTCCCCCACACTTACAGGTAGGCCACGCTGTCACGTTATGCGAAGTAAAGTAATTCCGGAAAAAACTATCTATAGCAATGCTGTGCGGACACGCAAGTCACTGCAACGCTCTGCGGCCGAAACCAACGCTGCAACCTAAAGCAGCAGGCTCCGTACGGACACAAGTCCAAGCCTATCCACCTGCAGCTGGCTGGGACGAGACTAAAATCCAAATCTATCTGTAATGCCACGCAATATGCCCTAAATCGTTCACCATGTCAGCTGCGTTCCGTCAGCATCGCTCTCACTTGCATCGCCGCCAGCACGGCAATCAATCACGTACGTCGGCGTTATGAACACAGGGGGCCCGAGTCCTTCATGCCAGAGGCTGGCGACGGGTTGCCGCAGCTAGCAGAGTGCGACAACCTGCAACCTCGTTTATCAGGTGCCATCTGCTGCTTTGCAAGGCAAGAGCTTATTGGGAATTGCTGCCTAGCAAAGGAAAGATTTTGTTTCCAGTTACGCTTCCCGCACCCTCGCGTGAAGAGTGGCAGCTGCGGTTCGGGGTAATGCGCCCAAGCGCCAGCGGCGATCTAGCTGCGGCGGTGGTCGAAGGTCTGTGGTGTCGGAAACTTGAGGAAGTCGGTTTTTGCACCCTCGGCGTACCTATATGATGGGAAGCCAGCCGCGCAGTGAAACAGTCCAGTCAGAGCAGGGATTGGGAGGGACGCAAACTAGCACTAGGATAGAGGAAAAGGCTCTACACTTATTCCCTTGAGTGCCATTATGCGACAAGTTCTATAACTCACATATAAACCTTTGCTAAGCTACGCTGCTCCGGTCGCAGATCCACGAGTGCCATGTCCGTCTGGGGGCCGCCCCTGGGAAGGCTTGAAGACGTTGCCAGGTGGTTTTGCTGCGGTCAAAAAGACGGAGCGTTGGCATCTAAACGCAGAAATACCTTTGTGGTTGAAGAACAAATTGTATTGAGTAAGGCAACGATTGCAGGCCCTTAAAGCAAGCGCCGTTTTACGCATGGGAAAGGCGGGCGCTTACTGTGTGAAGGGCAGACTGGGCTTTGCGTTGAGCAATTGCTCCCATTCCACCAGGGACGTGCCCCATGTAACCTGGGCAGGTGGAGCAGTTAGAGACGTTAGACTCCGAATCCCCATGCCGCTTCCACTGCTTGAGCACGTGGAATGCCCTACCTGGCAGGTGGCCATGCTTAATAGGGAGTGTCTCATACTTGTGAGAGGGTAGGTTGTTCATCTCAAACTGGGAGCAGTGGTTGCCAGTCAGCCTTTCCTTCACGAAAGAAGGCTGAATGTACTGAGTTATGGTCCCAGTATCCTTTCCTAACGTCGCCGACATTCTTTTAGGTGATGTGGTGATGTGAATAGATAAGAGCTAGAAGATGAATGTGTCAAACCCAAACTTCAGGTCCAGGGTCAATGCACGAAAGAGATGGGCTCCTATGAAAGCTGTAAGGTCAAAGAAATACAAAGTTCGCCTTAAATAGTCGTGCAGCCTCTCTAAGCGTCCGCGGTCTCGTACAACGTGCGTCCTGCCTGTAACCGCGCTTTCTCAGAAAGCAACCATTCGCTGGAAATTGGAACGAGATTGAATTATGTGAAAACTCAAGGAATGCAAAGGTATTTTATTTTACCTATCAACTCCATTCCCAAAGGGAAGTGCATCAACACAGCTCCAACTTATTCATGTTCCTGATTTAACGATTTCCTGAGGATCACTATGCCGCTTGCACCACACTACACCTGGTCGGAGACGGACGCATCCTTAGAAGTGACCGTGGACGTCCCGGGGGTCTCAAGCGCCAAGGCCGATGTCTTCGCGACGGATGCCTTTCTCAAGGTCAACTGTCCGCCCTACCTTTTCGCGCTAGACCTCTTGAAGGAAGTCGACGACAGCCGCAGCTCCGCGACAATCCTCCCGGGGAAAGTTGTGTTCAAGCTCTTAAAGGTTGGCCTGATCGCAAATCACATTACGCCTCCGTGTCCCTGTACCTCTTCGTGTTTGTGTGCTCCATACAGCATCCCCTATTTACCCTTTGGTTCTGTGTTCCCCTTCTCCTCCATTAACCCCTCATAGCCTTTCCCGAGCCCCCTGCAACTCTAAAACCCATAAACAATTGCTACACCCCTCCTCCTGGGCATGCCGTATTTTCCCCCTCAGCGCGAGCCTGGTGTATGGAGCTGTCTAGCGGCATCAGGCGACAAGGCGGAGCTCACTCGCCGCCGTAACGCCTCCATAGACCGGGCCTATCAGCATCTCGAGGAGGCGCGTAGGGCCCGCGCGGCCCGCAAGCAGCAGGAAGACAAGTGGGTTCCTTGGGGCTGCGGTGGCAGTGATGGGGGGAAAGGAAGGGACGGAGGAGGGGGGGAACAGCCGGGAGCTGGTTGGTGTGCTGTGTGGTCTCAGAGTTTCTAGAAAACACGGCAAACCGCCGACCCGGACGGGGCCCGTGTCCATGGCGCGTGAATGCTTGGGGAGGGAATAAAGAGGGAGAAGGAACCTACGCGCTCGGACTACCGCGTCAAAACCTCCGGCATAGGGGAGATAGGACACCAGGTTTAAGGTTCAGATGTGGTCGCGGGTTCACTTGGGCTGTCAGGTCGGGGACGGGGGGGGGAAGAAGATGACAGCATCGCAGAGGGCAGGCATCGGATGTCGGATTTCCAGGACCATCGCCGTCTTCACCCTCGCCATTGCCTTCTCTCGTGGCGTCAGATCCATCATTTGACACCGGGACTCTGAGCCGGGCTCTGGATGGAAAGTGCTTTCAGACGGGTGGATTGAGCATTACAGACCTGAGGTAGTCGTAACGAAGCTATACTATATCTTTTCAACGTTCGAAAACCCCAGATTTTTAAAACTGTTGTCGTGTACCAAAAGGCGGGACTCCTTGAGTAAGTCGTGGGGACAATAAGGCGCGGGTTCGGGAAGGGGAGGGAAGGGGAGGGGAGGGGAAGGGAAGGGAAGCATGAAATGCAAAACCCACAGAGACAACTGACCGACGTGCTAATGGAGCAGGAAAGGGAAAAAGGAGATAGGAGAAGCCAAACCAGAATTGCCGGTTTGTTCGTATGTATGCTGCTGGAAGGGCTTTGGAAGGTGGAGGGAAAGGACTCTCCACACGTGCTGTGACTCAACCCCCTGCCTCCTTGTCCTTTCTCTCTGGGCCCCCTGCCCGGGCCTCCAGAGATGCCACCCAGCGGTCTATGGAGGTCGATCGCCGCAAGCGTCACGAGATGGACCGGCGCAAGGCGGAAGAGCTTGCAGCGGAGCGGGCCCGGCTGGACGAGTGGCAGAAGGGGCTGGGGCCCAAGGAAGGTGAGCGCGCGCGTGGATGGGTTAGTGAAAGTGGGTGGGTGGGTGGACATGTACTCCGTGAAACGCTCCGGGTTGCTCGGACGGATCAGATGATGGCGAAGGAGGAAAAGGCAAATGGACGCCGCCCGGATGGCATCCTGGCGTGTTTGCGAGCGCGTGCGATGGATCCCAATGCCCTGGGGATGGAAGGGCGGCTAGCCAGGGCTGCGTACTTTTGGCCACGACGATCATGGCCATGTCCATGTCCATGGCTATGTATAATGATGGCGGTCGCGGCGGTCACGGTGAAGTGGACCATCCGGGGGGGGTGGACCATCCGGAGAGCACCACGATGTCGAAATGCCCCCTCCCCCTAGCAGCACCACCTCCGCCGTATCACGACGTGGGTACTGGAGGTATCGATGTGGCGCCAACCGCTGCGGAATTCCTCGCAGGCGGGGGCGCGGAGGGCGCGGATGGGGAGTCAGATTACGAGGAGGAGGAGGAGGAGGAGGAGGGGACGCGAGCGGCGCCGGATCATCCGGACTACTACGGACGGGGGTGGAGGTGGGTGGAGGGGGAGGCAGCGGCGGCGGCTCATCGGCCTGTGACCACCGATACACTAAGACGCCGTTGAAGAGGCCGTTTATGGGGGGGAAGGGAAAGGGAGGGAAAGGGAGAGAGGGAAGGAGGGTGATAAATGGGGGGTTGAGGACAGTGGGCCAAGAGACGGACAAGGCCTTGGTGGCTGCGTTCCTGACTCCGCTCACAGCAGTGGCCCCCCCTCCTCCCACTCCTCCTCCTCCTCCTGCTCCCCCATGCAGGCCTCCGACGGACACCAACACCACCCCCAGTGCCGCTATCGCCGCAACCGATGACACGACGACGCGCAGAGCCGCCGGGGCCGCATTACGTACCACCAGCACCAGCAGGGGGAGACTCCGACGCAAAGGGGGCGACGACGGCTCCAGCGGCGACGGGGACGGCGATGACGACGGCAGAAACGGCGAAGCCGGGAAGGAAGAGGAGGAAGAGGATGAGGAGACTGCAGCGTCAGGGTCTGTGTCTCCGGCACCCCGGTCGGGGCGGGGACAGCAGCTCAGAGCATGGCCGGAGACCTTCAAGCCGTTGCCGCCGCCCCGACCCCGACTCGAACCCGTGCAGGTAGGGCTTAGCCTTGTATTTGAGCTACAATTACAATTCACTACTTCCGAATAAGTGCGGGGAAGTTTGCAAAAATCGGCGGGCCCGTCAACGGCTATATAATTTATATGGAGTTGTCTACATGCGTTGGAAGGGTCAGCAGCCACTGTGTATATCTCTCTTAAGTGTGCGGACAAAGTCGTGGGCTGAGTGGTGCGGAAGGAGTGTTGGAATGCTGGGTAACTAACAACGGTTTCTTCTGGCATTCACCATCAAGTGTACATAGAGGGTTTTAATCCGCCACTAATTGGGAATAATCACCGTATCACCTTTCCCCCCTGGCCCCCTGTCTGTGTTTGTGTGTGTGTTTCGTGTGCGAGGTTCCGTGTCCCGGTGACACCCTCCCTCCCCCCCCCTTCACCCCCCTTCACTCGCTCGTGTTTCGCCTTTCCCTTCACCCCCAGGTCAGCTTCACTAGGTTGGAGACGGGCCACCTGCCAGCTAGGGAGCAGCGAGAGGAGGAGATACGAGCGTTCAGGAAGCAGGTGGGTTTGCGGGGGAAGAGCGCCCGGGTTGGGGGTGGAGAGGGGGATATTAAGGGAGCTGTTCAGTGTTTAGTTAACCGTTAGTGGTTGACTGTGGGAGCTGACAGGAAGCTGACAGAGGGGCGAACTCCCCTCCCCCGGAGGAGGGAAACCCCGACCCCCCACCTGATTACTCGCTCCCTCCAAATTCAACTTAGGGTTTGTCATGACGTCAGTAAGTATGATGCGCGTCAGCCACTCCCGTACACCCCTCTCAACTGCAAACACAGCATCCCCACCTTCCATCTCCCCTCCTCGACCGACGCACCCACTCTATCTCATTAACCTCAATTAACTAATAAACCTTAACGAATTAACCAACTAACCATTCGTTAATTACACATGCAGACGCGCGCGGCTGCCGCTGCCGACCCTGACGCGGTAGACCTGGCTGAGAGGCAGCCGCTGTTCCTCAAGGACAAGGGAGATGAACTGTTCAGGACGGGAAACTACAGGTGAGTGTGCTATGTATGTGTGTGTGTGTGCTATGTATGTGTGTGTGCGTGTGTGTGTGTGTGTGCTATGTATGTGTGTGTC